CAATAATAACAATTACTAAACTAATATATATATATATATATATATATATATATATATATATATTTACTTTACTTTATTGGGGCTTCTCTAATCGACAACCATCACTATGGGCCTCGTGATGATAAAACGTCTCACCCACGCTGCTAGAACTTTCTTATACCTTACCGAGGTATAGAACAAACTTAACTCATGGAACCATCTGAAAGGTCTTCTTAAAGGTATTGTGGAGTCGCCTGAAAGTAGGTGTGATCTTATCTCACTCTGGTTACATCGTTTACGGGGTTGTGAGTTGTCTGAACTCTCCCCATACCGGTGCTCAATTCTACTCCCAAAATATATAACTGAAATGCTCAAGTAAAAATACTCTCTGGGTTGAGATAAGTTCTCAAAAGGGCCTATTTAAGAGGTAGCTGCTTTATACACAATTTTTTTTAAAACTTTGAAAAAGAACTCTTTATACCTTTCTGAAAATAGTACTCTATTTTCAATGTGAAAATAGTACTCTATTTTCAATGTGAAAATAATACCCTCTTTAAGGCTAATAAAATTTCTCTTTAACTGACTGAAATGCTTCTAAAAAAAAACTCTTTATACTTTTCGTAAATCAATTTTTTCTTTCTCAATGTAAAAATAATATATTTGGGGCAATTAACGTTTCCCTTAAAACTCTTCTGAAAATAATGTTCTAAATTATACTTGGACTCACTTTGAAATTTCAAAATCAATTTAAGGAAAAATAATTGCACAAAGGCTTTGAACAAAATATTATCAACTAAGGTTAATGTGAAATAAAAGCATGAACAAAAACCCAATAATCTGAATGCATAATGTATCAAAATCTCATAAATAAGAACTCGAGATACGGAATAAGGAACTCAATTCGTATCTAGAATTTTGTGGAATATGTGGGCAAAACATTGTACTGAACTATTACTGACTGAGTTGAAATTTAGAGTGTGAGGACTAACTGGTCCAACAGTATGATTAGCCTTACATACCTGGAAAACAATATTCTTAGAGAAACTTGAAGAAAATCTTGGAAGATGAAGTGTAGAGAAGAGTCATGGATTGAAAACCTTAGGTACCTTGAAGAGAATCTTGAACTTGGAGCCTTTATATTTTGAGAAATTGGAGAAATCCTTTAATCTTTAAAAGAAGGAGAATTAGAGATTTTTGAGTTTCTATACGTAAAATGATGATATTAAGTTATAAGATGGACTTATGAAAGTTAATTGAGGCTAAAAGGTCAAGAATACCCTTCTAGGAATGTACAAAGACCATAAAAATCTAAGAAAATGATCTTTTAATGAATCACGTCGGCCTAATCACCGATTTAAAAGTCTCCTTACCAAAATAGTTGGCGGTTCACCAAATAGGGCTTTAGATCTCCAAAATAGACAGAGACTTGCGGTTTTCAGGATGATTTGGCGAGTAGTTCGGTGATTCACCAACCCATTCAGAGAGTCGCCAAATGGGTAGGTGTTCTCGCCAAATTTCCTGGCCTGGACATGTTCTAGTAAAAGATGATAACTCTTTACTCCAATCTCCAAATAAGAAAAACTTGGTGGCATTGGAAAGAAGAGACATTGACCTTTAATTTGATAGGTTATGGGCCGCCTAAATCTTTATATGCTAAGAGATATAATTATTTTAAATTGACCTTTATATGAACTCATACGAGAACTTAGCTGATAGGATTGCTTGAACTTGACTTGGTCTTTGAGGTCCCTTATGGCCCTAGATCACTTTTGATACACTTGGCAAATGACCTTAAAACATATGAGAAGTAGGAAATCACCCGGCTTAAGCTCATATATTTATGACGAATGATTTAGATTTTAAGAGTAGAGTTACGAGGTGTTACAGAATTATTCGGGTTGTAGCTTAGAATGTTTTGGGGTGTTACAATATCCCCTCCATTGGGATCATGCGTCCTTGAATGTTGGTTGAACTAAGAATGGAAGGGAAAGGAGTTACTCTTACTATCTTTCTGATTTTGAACTTGCCTACTAACATAGGCAGAACTGATTCATACTAAGAGTTTGAAATTGTCTATAGCACATAAGTCATGAACGATATGGGTTTGAACACAGTCACGCTCTATCCAAAGTTATTTGACATGAACAAGGGTATCTGGGAACAAAGTAAGAATATGACTACTATGGCTTAAGCAATATGACCGGTAGCAACACATCTAAATCATGCCCTCATTTATTAATACCACACCTCATTGTTACAACTTGTAGCTCCTACAAGTGTATATGGCTACTCATACCAAGGTCTTAGTCAAATTGCCTGCTCTTACTGTGTTCAAGCCTAACTCTAAATCACAAGGTGCTAAACATGAGGTGACGATACTTATCTAAATCATAAGATCCGGGTTCTATACCTCTATGGAGAATCTCATCCCAAGAATACTACTCCTAACCATCGCATTCAACAAACCTCAAGTCCTAATCAAAAATCACCTAATGCATCATGCATTCATAGTCTTGTTATCAACACCACATTCAAGTCTAGTACTATAACCACTCCATGGAATCCTACTAACCAATCCTTTTTAAGAATTCCTTCAATTCTCATCATCTCTACCAACTGAAATTCTACGCCTTACTACCAGGAAACCGACTAATTACTCTCATCTAACTATTACTAACAATAAAATTTCTTCTTATTCTTCCTCCACATTTATAACCTTAGATGGAATAAATACACCACCACTATCACAATACATAAAATCAACCCTCTCCTATTTATCATTACTCAACTAGTATTATCAAGTCACTATCAAAACTGAAAAGGATCACTGAAAGGGCTTAGGGCAAAAGATCATAAGCTCGATTCAGTTAAGAAATCTGATTTAAGAATATGCATGACTTAACATTATATTGCTATCCATTGAGGGGAAGTCATGACTTCACGAGACTAAGCATACTATGAGACATGAGTGCATATATGAATATATTCATATCATGAGGTTGATATTCATAACTTTATGGAGTAAGATTGAGATCAATGGGCTAAAGTCTTCACCTTTTATTTAGGGAACTGAGCATAGAGGTGAATCTATCTGAAGTATATAATCATAGGTCATGGATATAATGATGATATGCGGACATTAAAAGGGTGTTATAATGTAAAACCTCGAATTTGAAAAAAAGGAAGATGCTAGTTTTTCTAGAACTGGTGTATGTACCGGTGGACCCACCAACGGACCGTAGATTTACTTATAGGTTGTGGGTAGGAATCATAGGTGTCAAGTCAAATTATTTTCAAATTTCAAGTTCCACTACCCTTTTTATGGTTCACCAGAATGGTATGTCGTTCAATGTACGAAACGTAAGTAAGTCTGTTAGGTGAGTCCTGGACTTAGTGAATTTTGAGGGCCAAAGTTGGACTTACGGTGGTCATATATATGGACCATAGGTTGAAAAACTAACCCTACAAGGGTCCCATCATTCGAGGGTCTAGAAACAACTCTTGAACCCCACCAATAATTGACTAGGACCGTAGATCCCATCGTCAGTGGTGGTTGGCAGTTATTTTTAAAGGAGGTTTTGGGTCTTTGTCTAATTATTCTAACCCAATACTATGTCATTTTACCCTCTACCCCAGGCCCTATATAAGCATTTTTACCCCCAAACTACCCAATTAGACTCATTCTCCTAATTTCTCAAAGTTGATCAAAGTTCTTCCCCAAATATTTCTCTCTCTAAGGAAGAAGAGAAGAGCTAGGTTCCATTCAAGTCTCAATTTCCACCATAGCTTTTGCACTTTGAACTCCAAGGTATGATAGTATTCACCTATGGAGCTCTTTCCTCCAAAGGGTTTCTAAAATCTCCAATTTTGTAAAGTGAGATTCCCCAATCAAATTAGAGTTTTATTCAATTGACATGGGTTCCTTTCAATTATGATCCAATTGATTGATTTATGTATTTTTATGCATGAATTGAAGTAATTGAATGTGTTTTAAAGCTGAATCCCCATGAACCCATGCATGACCCATAGTTTCTAGACTATGACTATATGATGTGGTTTTCGAACTATGGATATACCATGAGTTTACGGTATTTTTGATGCATTTCACTTAGAGTTTCTGTGTCTATTAGGCTAGTTTGTTATTAGATATAATGTTTTTTATGTAATATTTTGTAGGAAATTGGTTTGGAAGCGGTTGAGATGAAAAAGAACTGAAGTGGCAGCAGAAGCAGTCAACGGAGCCAAACCACGAACCATAGGTCCAGTGACAGTCCGTAGGTGATGGTTCATGGGTGTGAGTTCAAGGAAGTCTGACCAAGTGTGAAACCATGGAGGCAAACAATGCCCTGTAGAGTGAATAATGGACCGTAGATTGATGGTCGTCGTTTGATTTAGAGAATTGAAGTTCCAGTACTTGCACCACAGAAGAACAGAACAGACCGTAGTCCAATCCACAGACCATACGTGGGACCGTCATTTGAAGGTCCTGAAAATATTTTCTAAGTATTGAACCAAGGAGGTGACCCATAGACCGTAGGCTGATCCATGGTCCGTAGGTCTGGTCTTCGATCAAAAATCGTGTCTAACCCAATTTTCCTTATTTTTTTTTCTTACTTTGTTTACCATTTAGTTTCTATAAATACTAGTTGTTATTTCATTTTTTGGAGTTAGACAATATCGTAGACTTTTGTTTTGGTCTTTTGGGATTATTTTGCAAATTCTTAGCAATTTAATTCCGGAAGTTGGTTTTATGCAATTTGCACTTTGAATTTCAATTCAAGATTTCAGTTTTCATGTATTCTAATTGTAGAGAGTGATGGTGAGGAAGTTGGTTTAAAACCTCTTGGAGTTGTTAATGTGCCCATTCAAGTTCACGGTGGTCATCTAATCGAAAATGCAGAAAGGGTGCGGTGCGGAATCCGCCAACACCAAGGGTTCATGATAACTATAGGGTTGACTACGATGCAGTTGGATCAGATGGGCTTATTTTTCTCCCTCCTCTACCTCCAAGACACACATTTATGGTGACCAGCAATCTTATGCAGATGCTTACAGCAAGAGCGTTGTTTGTTAGGTTAGCTTCGGAGGATCCATATGCTCACATGGCTAAATTGACTAGTGTCTGTAAGAGTAGTGTGGGACGACCAAAATTGGATATGAACGTCATATGTTTGAGAGTACTCCCACTGTCCTTGACTGGGGATGCAGTTGTGTGGTTTTCTGAACTGACATACAATTCAATCTATAAATGGGATCAATTGCATAAGGTGTTCATGGCGAGGTATTTTCTGGTTTCTAAGAAGTTAAATTACAAGGATAAATTGAATAACTTTGCGGCACTACCTAGAGAGTCAATAAGCAGTTCATGGGATAAGTTCACTAGATTCATGAAGAGTGTTTCGAATCACCGCATAGATGATGAATCACTTAATGAGTACTTCTACCAAGGACAGGATGACAATGGAAAGGTTGTGTTGGACACTATTGCTAGAGAATCATATGGTTAGTGCACTTTTGAGGAGATTGCTGAAAAACTTGACAGTATTTCCCAAAACAATAAGGCATGGAGCATGTTCACTGTCTAAACTGCACCAAATCAATCAAATGATGGCATTCGTGAAGAGATGGCTCAAATGAGGATAGAAATTGGCTTGGTATTAAAGCATATAAGTTGAAGTGTAGAAAAAGTGAATGCGGTAAATTATTTAACTAGAACTCCACCACCGCCAGTTGAGGAATACTACTCTAAGGAGGATGCCAATTTGGTTAATGCTCAGATGGGGGGTTTCCAAACCAACGCCTAAGGTTCCATCTCGGATATTTGGTGCCAAGGTCAAGGAAACCAAGGTCGAAACTATGACAACTACAACCGTGATGGAAATTATGTCCGAGATGGAACCTACAATCTTGATAACAATTACAATTGGAACAATTATGGCAACATGAATGAGAAGGTTGGTTCTTACATTCCCCCTGTTAATAGAGAGGCTAGTACTAGTATGACTCCCATTGAGGATATGATGCAGAAAATGATAAAGAGGTTTGATGCGACAAATGAGAATGTGAAGGAGATGTGTATTGATTTGTCTGGGATTAATCAGAAAGTTGATGCCCATGCAGTGTCGATCAAGCAGCTTGAGCAGTAGTTTAGTCAGTTGTCTGATATTGCGAACCCACGCCAGCCTGGCACATTTCCTAGCAACACCATACAAAATCTAAGAAATGATGGGCATTGTATGGCAATCACTATTCACAAAGGAAAGCAAACTATTGATCCCTCATATCGTCTAAGGTTGAAAGAGCGATAGAAAAAGATGGGGATGAGAATGAGGTTACTGAAACTCCAAAAGTGGATACAGAGAAGGAAGCTAAGGTGAACCAAAACGTTGCTCCCATGCCTAGACCTCCACCTTCATTTCCACTGAGATTGGTGAAAAAGACTGAAGAGGGAAAATATCGCAAGTTCATATCTATGTTGAAGCAACTGTCCATAAATGTCTCATTGATAGAAGGTTTGGAACAGATGTCTGGCTATGCAAAGTTCATGAAAGACTTGGTAACCAAAAAGAGGGCTGTCAATTTTGAGAATGAAGAGAGGCTACAACATTGTAGTGTTATTGCTACTAGGTCACTTGTGCAAAAGAAAGAGGATCCTGGAGCTTTTACTATTCCTTGTACCATTGGGATTTTACACTTTGCGAAAGCTTTGTATGATTTAGGTGTCAGCAATAATTTGATGTCATTGTCCATATATAAGAATTTGGGTTTAGAAGCTCCAAAGCCGAGTGCAATGTGTTTACAGATGGCCGATAGAACTGTGAAGATGCCCATTGGAGTGCTCCAAGATGTCCTTGTGAAAGTGGAGTCATTCATTTTTCTAGCGAACTTTATGATACTTGATTGTGAGGTTGATTTTGAGATTACTATCATCTTAGGGAGACCATTTCTTGCTACTGGGCTTGCCTTGGTCGATATGGAGAGAGGGCAGATGAAGCTTCGATTAAACAATGAGGAGGTAAATTTTAACATATGTAGGTCTATGAAGCATGAAAGTGATCATAAATCAGTATCGGTGGTAAATCATAGGGTGGGGCAAGAATCTGAAGTGTCTATTGAAGAGAGGTTAGGTGTTGATGCATTAGCTCTTGTAATAATGAATTTTGACAGTGATGGTATTGATGACTATGATGAGCTAGTTGCTGCACTTGATAGGTTTGAGTTTCGTTTCAAAGCAAAATGGTTGGAATTAGACATGAAGAATCGAGACACCCCACATACTAAATTGTCTGTTGATGAGCTTCAAAAATTGGAACTTAAGGTTCTTCTATCTCACTTGAGGTATGTATTCTTAGGACAAAATAGCACATTGCTAGTTGTTATTGTTGCTCACTTGAGTGAAGGGCAAATAGAGCCTTTGATATCGGTGTTGAAGTGGTTTAAGAGGGCTATTGGTTAGACTATTGCAGATATTATTGGGATTCCACCGGGAATTTGTTCTCACAAAATCCAACTCATGCCAGACAACAAGCCAAGTATTGAGCATCAAAGGAGACTAAATCCCCTATGCAAGAGGTTGTGAAAAAAGAGATCACTATGTGGTTGGATGTTGGAGTTATATATCCCATTGCCGATAGTAATTGGCCTTGCCCAGGTCAGTGTGTGCCAAAGAAAAGAGGAATCATTGTGGTTCCTAATGCTAAAAATGAGCTTGTTCGAATGAGGTCGGTGACCGATTGGAGTGTGTGTATGGACTACCACAAATTAAATGCATGGACTGAGAAAGACCATTTCCCAATGTCGTTCATGGATCAAATACTAGATCTTGTTGTTGGTAAGTGTTGGTATTGTTTTCTAGATGGGTACTCTGGCTACAATCAAATCTCCATAGCTCCGGAAGACCAAGAGAAAACCACTTTCACTTGCCTTTATAGTACTTTCGCCTTCAAAAGAATGCCATTTGGGTTATGTAATGCTCCAGTGACCTTCGAGCATTGTATGATGTCGATATTTGCAGATATGATGGAGGATACGATAGAGGTATTTATGGATGATTTATCTTTGGTAGGTGACTCATTTGATGATTGTTTGACACATTTGGTTTAGGTACTAAAATGGTGTGAAGAGTGTAATCTTGTGCTCAACTGGAAAAGTGTCACTTTATGGTGAAAGAGGATATTGTTCTAGGTCATCGGATTTCGCAAAAAGGTATTGTGGTTGATCGAACTAAAGTTGAGGTAATAGAAAAGCTTCCACCACCCATCTCTATTAAAGGTGTTCGAAGTTTTCTTTGGTATGCAGGTTTCTACCGGAGGTTCATAAAAGATTTCTCTAAAATTGCACACCCATTGTGCAAGCTACTTGAAAAAGAGTGTAAGTTTGATTTTGATGATGCTTTTCTGAGAGCATTTGGAGAGTTGAAAGAAAAGTTAACTTCGGCACCTATCATTATTTCATCGGATTGGGGGAAACCAAGTGATGTGTGATGCAAGTGGGATGGCTCTTGTTGTGGTATTAGCACAAAGGCGACAAAAAATTCTTCATCCTATTTACTATACCAACAAAGCTCTGAATGCGGCTCAAAAGAACTATGCGGTGACTGAACAGGAACTCCTTGCGGTGGTTTTCGCATTTGAGAAATTTAGATCCTACTTGCTTGGTACTAAGGTCATAGTGCATACTGACCATTCTGCATTGAGGTATCTGATGGCTAAAAAGGAAGCAAAACCAAGGTTGATTAGATGGGTGCTCCTACTACAAGAGTTCAATTTTGAGGTAAATGATAGAAAGGGAATAGAAAATATGGTTATTGATTACTTGTCCAGACTAGAGGAAGCAAGTATGATCAAGCTAGAGAATGGAATTGAGATTAATGATTTGTTCCCTGATGAACAGGTATTGGCTGCTTCTTATGATCTTATCCCTTGGTTCGCAGATTTTGCCAACTACTTGGCAAGTGATTTGGTTCCGTCGGATTAGTCATTTCACCAAAGGAAATTTTTTATGTCTAATGTGAAGAAATTCTTTTGGGATGAGCCTTACTTGTTTCGTGTTTGTGTTGATGGGATTATTCGTCGTTGTGTGCCCGAGGTTGAGATGATGAGTATACTAGAGGTATGTCATTCATCGCATGTTGGTGGGCACCATAGTTGTATCCAAATTACCCATAAAATTTTGCAATGTGGGTATTACCGGCCTACCATCCACCAAGATGCTCATGATTTCACCAAGTCTTATGATCGTTGCCAGCGTGAAGGAGGAATTTCGAAAAACAAGAACTACCAATGAATCCAATATTAGTGATTGAACTTTTTGATGTTTGGGGTCTTGACTTCATGAGTCCATTTGTGAGTTCGAATGGGATGAAGTACATTCTTGTGGCAGTTGACTATGTATTGAAATGGGTGGAAGTAGTCGCGCTTTCAAACAATGAAGGAAAGTGTCACCGCATTCGTGGAAAGAATATCTTCTCCAGATTTGGTACACCAAGGGAAATCATAAACGGTGGAGGTTCTCACTATTGTATTAAATTGTTCAAGGCGTTCCTTGAGAAGTATGATGTTCACCACAGCATAGCAACCCCTTATCATCTGTAGTCGAGTTGGCAAGTTGAAGTGTCAAATTGCGAGATAAAGCAAATTCTTGCAAAGACCGTAAATGTTAACATAATTGATTGGTCAAGGTGGCTTAATGATGCTCTATGGGCTTATCGCACTGCATTCAAAACTCTCATAGGTATGTCCTCCTACCGACTTATTTATGGGAAGTCTTGTCATACATGTAGAGCTAGAGCATAAAGCAATGAGGGTGCTAAAGAAGTTGAATTTGGATTGGGGTGCCGCATCGAGTTAAAGAATGAATGATATGAATGATCTTGATAAGTTTTTCCTAAAATCATATGAAAGTTCAGCCTTGTACGAGTAGATAAAGAAGTATCATGATCAGAAGATCGATACGTGTGAATTTGTTGTCGGTGATTTGGTGCTCTTATTTATCTCGAAGTTGCGCTTGTTTCCTGGCAAGCTCAAGTACAAGTGGACCGATCCATTCAAAGTAACTCAAGTATTTCCACATGAAGTGGTTGAACTCGAGAACAAGGAAGGAACGATATTTAATGTGAACGGAAAAAGGATAAAGATCTACTTGGGGAAATCTCAGAGTGACAATGAAGTGATAGAGGAATGGGATCTTGGTGAAGTCTGAGTAACTAAGGTGTATGCATTGTGATGCGACGTTAAATCAAGCGCTGCTTGGGAGGCAACCCAAGATGTACAATCTAGCCAACTATAGGAGTTTCTTTTCGATACAAGGAGTTTTTCTTAAACTTGCAGTTTTCTTGATAGATGTTTGTTAATTTTTAGTTTTAGTGTTTGCTAGATATAGATAGAATAGGGTGTGTGTCTAAAAAGTGTCCAGAAAATGTAAAAAGGAAGTCCTAATGTTTGCTACATTTGCAGGGAAGAAAAGAAAAAATATGCATAAAATAAGTTGATGCAGTGATCTACGGGTCCCAACGATAGCATGACTTAAGTAGAAGAATGAAAGCTTGATGACTGTTTCACTTTTATGTTGAACCGACATGTGTAGGATTTTATGTGTAGAAGTAAGTAGAAGAATGAAAGCTTGATAACATAAGAGCGTGAAATTGATACCTATCCAAAATTTTGAAATGTGCTAAATTTATAAGTTTAATGAGTTGAATGTGTTTGGATCTTCATGTGACATGATAAGGAGCCGGTATGATAGCATGACTTAAGCTAAAACTTAAACTGGGTGCTTCAATAATTGGATAATGAAACAATGTGTCAAGTGTGTGTGAGTAGATTTTGTATGTTCATGCAGTATGTGCCTATCTAAAACTTGCCCCTTTGGTCATGCTAAGATAATCTAGGCTAGAAATTGAGAAATGATCATAGGCCCTTATTCAAATAAGTCCACTAAAGCCTAAAAAAATATCCAACCAAAAGAAAGAAATGCTCTCTTTGATCCAAATATTTTAGCCTAACGAAAACCACTTCTTTCAATACACCTAACTTACATTCCCTAAAAAGATTGTTTTGGCCCTAGTCCCTCCTTGGACGTGTGCACCTTAACTTAGGCCAAAAACCTAAGTTGAGGATGGCTGGTTCAAAAGTTACCTTAATCTTGGCCCTGGTCCGACCTCGGACATTGTGCACTTCAACTCATGCAAAATACACAAGTTTAGGGTGGCTATGAAAAAGAAAACTAAAAGAAAAAGGGTATGAAAAGAGTTGTGTGTAGAAGAAGGAAAAGGATAGAAAAAGATGTGACTGAATTCAAAAGAAACAAAAAGAGTGATAATGATGTTGAATAACAAAGAATGAAGATGTAAAAGAAAAAAAGAAAAGTGAAAGAGAAAAAGTGAAAAAGAAGAGTGAAAAAGTCAAAGTCACATATGTGCTGAAGAAGGTCAAAGAAAAGAGTAAAAAATAAAAATATGTCAGAATTGGTTGAGAAAAGAGGTAAATAGCCAATGTATTGTCAAGGAGGGAATAAAAGTCACAAAAAGTACCCAAATGTATCCTACCTGACCCTGAGCCTACGTTACAAGCTAATAAAGTCCTATAGTGATCTTAGTGACTAGTTTGGAGAGTCTATGCATTGAAAATTAGGGAAAGCCTATGGTATTGAGCACTAACAGTATTTGAATTCACTTTTGAGCGTGAGTGTTGACTGAATCCTTGATCTTAAAAATCAAATTTGTTGAGTGAAAAAGGATTTCTTTGAAGTGTGGGCACTAGTTACATTGTTGGAGAGTTGGTACCTTGGTGATTGTTGAAAATGTATGTGGTGATGTATATTGGTCTTTCTATGTCATGTGTTGATTCGCATGAGTTAACTTGTTGAGTCTAAATGAAAAGATTTGCACTAAGTGATGGAATTGATTGAGAAAGTCATGTGATTTCTTGAGTTTGTATGTTTGCTTCTACATAAGTGTCGTTTAGAGTTTTAGTGTGTCGCTTGAGGACAAACAACAAGTTTAAGTTGAGGGTGTTGATATATCATGAGTTTACGGTATTTTTTATGCATTTCACTTAGAGTTTGTGTGTCTTGGGCTATTTTGTTAGTAGATATAATGTTTTTATGTAATATTTTGTAGGAAATTGGTACGGAAGCAGTTGAGATGAAAAAGAACTGAAGTGGCAGCAGAAGCAGTCGACAGAGCCAAACCACGGACCGTAGGTCCAGTGACGGTCCGTAGGTGATGGTTCAGGGGTGTGAGTTCAAGGAACTCTGACCAAGTATGGAACCACGGAGGTAAACGAAGCCCCGTAAAGTGAATGATTGATGGTTGTCGTTTGATTCAAAAAATTGAAGTTCCAGTACTTGAACCACGGAAGGACAGGACAGACCGTAGTCTAATCCACGGACCGTAGGTGGGACCGTCATTTGAACGTCCTGAAAATATTTTATGTGTGCTGAACCACGGAGGTGACC